CCGATCGGTCAGAATCCGTTAGTTCGAGTCCCATGTGTATCCCTATTAAAACCTATTAGCTTACAAACACAAATTGAGTTGTAATTACAAGAAAACAATTAAGTCAACATTAAATTTATCATGAAATTAATTACAACATACATAAGAAATTCAACGATAATTCCTTTGTAATTCAACAACACCCACGTTTCTGGATATGCTGGGCGTCAGTCATTTGTTTTTATACAAAAATGTCAAGTCTGTCAACTGTATTTTCTTTTCATTTGAAACTTAGTATTCACCTATTTCCCTTACTTAAGAGAAAACCCATGTGATTAAATATAAATCATTAAAAATATAATTGCTCCTCAATTTTAAATAAAAATATTTTTAAAAAATAAAATATTTGAGGTTATCTAGACAAGTCTACAAGTGTACAAGATAGTTTATAAAATAAGTTTATATTAGAAATTTAGAGGGTATAAAATTTCAAAGATATAAAATTAAATCAATAATAAAAAAATATTTAAATTACACGATGACTTAAAATTTTCAAACGATACGACCACACTATTTATAAAATATGATTTTGACATTAGATTAAAATGTTTTAAAATTTTCGACGAATATAAAATATAAATTGTAGTTCGATAAGTTATCCCTATTAAAAACAGCAGCACATGGAAAGAAAATGAGGTGATGTACATCTCACTATCAATCAAATAGCGTGTAATCGACGCTCCGATCCAAAGCCATTTCCATCCGTCCATTTGACTTGTTCAACGGCTGAGATACACATCAAAGGTTTGTCCGGACCAAAATATTAGCCTTACAAAATATCATTTATAATACTTATGTTTTGGTAAATTACGTGTTTAATATCTAAACTATCAATTTTAATCTGTTTAAGTACCTAAGTTTTTTTTTTTCAAAACCATACCTAACGTTTTGTTTTTATTTTATTTTAGTATCTCGCCGTTAAAAATTTAATGCGTTTAATACCTAAACTATCAATTCTGATTCATTTTTTAAGACTTAACATTAAATTTTAAACAAGGGTATTAAAATGAAACAAAAACTAAAGTTTTTAACGACGAAATACTAAAATGAAATAAAAACTAAACTTTAGGTATTGTTTTGAAGAAAATTAAAAGTTTAGGTATTAAAATATACCAAAACTGATAGTTTAAGTAGTAAATACATAATTACCTTTTTCTTTATTAATCTAGGTGATTACGAGTTATAATATATGTTCTAAAAACTCAATTATTTGACAATGAACGTTTAAATATTCTACCATTTTTAATATAATATTACATCGTTATATATTTTATAAAAAATTAATTAGAATTTATAATATTATAATAGAAATATTAAATAATTAATATATAGAAGAGTAGAAGTTAAAGAAATTCAACAAAAATTATACTCCCTCTGTCGTATTAAAAATGTCCATTTTGTGGTTTACAATTGTCTCATTAAATTATTTATTTAAAAAAATCAACAACTTTTACTAAACATATTTCTTTTCTATCCTTCGTTTAGTTCCCAACAAAATAAAATTTAACTTTTTAAGGATAAAATTGTAATTTTATTTTTTTACAACGCATCTCTTGTACACACTTTTTCTCCTAAACTACGCGAAAAGTCAACAATAAACACTAAAAATGAGACTATAAAACATAAAATATAAAATAGAATAATTACTTTTAAATTACTATTGCATGAAGCGAAAACGAATTTAGATTAACCATTTATTAATATGAAAATTTTGAATACAATTTAAGATGTATATATTTTAAAATAGGGAAAATTTTGCATTTTGGGTCATCAAATTATTCACATGATTCTTTTTTGGTCACTAAATTATTATTTTTCAAAATCATACTTAATGTTAAATTTCGGTCACTCACAGTTAAAAAAACTAATGATGATACTAACATTTCATCATAAGATAATGCCACGTGAAAAAACAAAAAATATTGCAGCAATAGTTCTATTATTTTTTAACGACGAATAATCAAAATGAGACCAAAACGTAACGATATGTATGTATTTAAAAAAGGCATGATAAAAAAATTACCTCCCAACAATTGCAGAAATATTCATTTTGCTCCCTATCATTTTTTTGTTGAACATTTTAGCCCTTAATGTTTTATTTTAGAGCAAAATGTCCCTGATTGGATGAAAGTCGTTAGTTGACTAACAGTAAACGATTCTTATTGACGTGATAGGTTCACATGTGATATCACGTCATCAAAAAATTATTTTTAAATATATTTTTATAAGTGTATATGTTATTAATTAGAATTATAGTTCACTATAAAAATATTTTTTGACTTGACATCACAGGTGGATTTGCCACGTTTATAGGAAGTATTGATCGTTAGTTAACTAATGTGTTTTATCCAACCAGAAGGTATTTTGCTCCAAAATAAAATGTTAGACGCTAAAATGCTCTAAAAAAATTGGAGGCAAAGTGTAACACCCTAATCCAGTCATACCCGAAGATCTATGGATTACGATGTCACAAGGGACCACTGAAATGGTCAACCCGAAAATTTCTTTTCAAAATAGTTTATAATTTTCAAAATTATCCATCATATCATAAGCATAATAGAAATAAAGTTTACGAAATATGAGAGTCTCCCAAATACGTATAAATATAACCCATAAGTTTAAAATCAAAACAGAGTTATGACTCGAATAAGTACAAGGTCCACATTGGATACATGCCCTCTAAAATAGACTCAAGACATACTGTGCAACAACTGATCTGGAATGTACTGTTACGATAGGCTCCTTGACGATCCCTCTACTAACCTACGGATGGAATCACATTCCATACGCTAAGCTCACAAGCTCAGTGCCACGAGAATAACTATGCAATACTATATGCATTTATTACATGAACATGATGGTGCGCAAAGTCATAAACATACAAAAGTACATAACAAACATTAGATAAGCCGAGTGGTGCGGTCAGAGGAATTTACGTGCATCTCGGACAACAAACTAGCCTATCTAGAATGGAATAGCTTCGAGGTAAGAACCGGAATTTACTGCATAAGAACTTATAGCCCTCAGTCTATTTCGGATCTTCGAGAGGTCGGGGTGAGGTCTGAAATTTACGTGCATCAGAAGCTCACATCCCGAACCTAGTCGAGCTAGGGTACGATTTTGGAATTTACGTGCATCAGAATTCGTATCGGTATGACCCAAAATTTACTTGCATCGGATGAGTACCAAACAGACAATATCATAATATTCACAAAAAATGACGATCATCATAATGCTAGAGTAACTCGGGTGTCCTAGCCGTTTTCCGAGCATCATACAAAGGTCAATCTTATGTCAACCTATATTGCTTGATTTCTAAGTGAGAATTGAGTTAACTAGTTTGTTTTCACTTGCATTGGATACCTGTAGTTTATACGAACTCAAAACACCCAAGCCCGAACTCAAAACACCCAAGCCCGAACCAAACGAATTAAATTGGTCAAAATTCACCGTGGGTATCGATGTTGTGCCAACAATATCGATACCGACCCCTTGGGTATCAATACTCAAGGTAGCTTTGTATCGATACTCCTATGGAGAGTATCGATACTCTACTCTAGGTATTGATACTCCCGTGAGTATCGATACTAAATTTGACTTCGATGTTTTCAAAAATACCTCAGTATTGATACTGGACCCCGAGTATCGATACTCCTTCAAGGAGTATCGATACTGCCCCTATAATATGCTTGGTTTTTCCCTTTCACAAAGAATATTATCGGTACTGTTCTTCCATTATCGATACCGACGGACCAAAATACCCTGTTTGGGCACAAAAATGCCTCTAAATCTCACCCATACACTCCCCTAATACTAGCAAAACTTATTAAAGTCTTATTTGAGGTCTTAGAGGTTAAAAGTTATCATCTTTCATGCTTACAAACAATGAAAAAAGATCTTCCCATTAAATTACTCTAGCATGCTTACATGAACAAAACATACCAAAATATACATACAATGACCTACATGCAATATGGTTAAGTTAGAATTGTGTTACCTTGAGTCCAAGCTACTGAAAAACGTTCTTGAACCAAAAGTGAGTTTTTTCCTTTCCTCTTGCCTTAGAGCTCTCACATTTCTCTTGCACTAATCAAAACCATGGAAAATGAGTTATTAACTCATTTTAGAACTTAGGAAGGTGTTAAAATGATCCTACAAGCCGAACTCTCCTAAAAACATATTAAGCTTCAAGATTCCATAAACCTCTTTAAAACTCGTTTTTGGTTTATTTACCCAAACCTTGCAAAAAAGGGCTTAAATGGAAGCTTGGGAGATGAAGATTAAAGTTCTTACCTTGGAAGACTTAATGGATGATTAGAATTTTCAAAGTTTCAACCTTTAGCTTAACTTGGGAGAGAAGAAAATAAAGAAGAAGAGAGAAATAAGACAAGCTTGGTGAAGAAAAAAAGATATGAACAAAACATACGTGATATTATCCCATTAATTGGGAATTCAAGTTTAGTTTCAAAAATTGATCAATTTACTTTCCTAGTCCCTCCTCATTTGGTTCCAAAATAAAAACACTCATTTTTAATACTTGATGAGCTCATCCCAAGCCCAAATCAAGTGCTACTTGGGTCAACTCTTCATGGGCTAAGAGGATTTATTCCAAGGTCCAAAGCACATATACCCGAAACTCTTAATTCGAGATTCGGGGTGTTACACAAAGTGACTATTTGTGCAAACGTTGGGATAATTTTGTTATTATGCCTTTAGAAAAATAGTTAAATGACTAAAATGAAATAACTCCAATAATTGAGTGGCTAAAAATGTAGTTTACCCTTTAAAACAACTCAGATTTAAACTGGACCCTGTCTATAAACGACGTATTGACGTGACTAACAAGCGCCGCCGATGAAAGTAGAAACAAAACAAAACTCAGCTGCCGAAGAAGAGTGTAAATGAAAGATGCTTTGACTAAAAAACATATCATTTTCAGCACATCGATCTCATCATCCGCACCTTCTTCGATGAATCGTCAATCTCCCATTTTCTTTTTCACCTAAAGGAATCCATAACCCAGAAATCTTCAATCCAACACAGAGAAAGAATCGATGAAGATGATTGATTTACAGGTTTCGTTTCTCGTTTTCCTTTCAGCCCTTTCCTTTACCTCAGCTGCTTCTTGTCCGATGGATCTCAATTACGTGACGAGAGTCCCATGGAACTCATCTGTGTGCCGTGATTTCCACCCAGCTAACTCGACACCCAGAGCCGAAATCTCTAAACAAAACTGCTGTGTGGCTCTGTTATCAGTCTTCGGCATTGGACTCGCCGAGCATCTCAAAGAAACAACCCTTTTTCAGCTCCCGGATTTGCCCACTTCCGTCGCCTGCCTCCGAGATTTCCAGGCGAAGCTTGACGCTCTTTCTCTCCGGAACGACGTCGCTTCCCTTTGTTTTGACCCGATGCAGTTCGTGATCACGCCTCATCTTTGCGCCAACATACAAACGATTCCAGATTGGGTCGCTAAGTTAGGCGAATCCACTGCTCTCGATCAAGGTTGCAGGGCCGATCTCAGTGATCTGACGGCCTGTGATACTTGTCTCCGTGCCGGGAACGAGGTTCATTCCAGGTTGGTCTCGATCGACGGTAATAGCTCCCACGGCACCGATTGTTTCGATTTCATTGTTCTTTACGCTGCTGGGATTGTTAATGAATTTGGACCTCAAAGTAATGGTGTTGTTACGTGTACTTTTTCTTTAGCTTTGGATGAAAAATCTGGTTCAAATAATAGACATTCGGCTCTTGTTTTTGGTCTAACCGGTGCTGCTGTTGCTGTTCTTGTTACCTCTAGTTTACTGGGTTTTTACTTTTGGTATGAAAAACGATTTGGGAAGAACAAAAATGGTGGCTCTGGTTCGAATTTTGATGATCCAGAGGAGCAAGGGTCTAGGCCTAGATTAAGGCCTAAAACAGGTTCGATTTGGTTCAAGCTCCGCGATCTCGAGAAGGCTACCGATAACTTTTCGAAGAAGAATTTCATCGGGAGAGGTGGTTTCGGTTTCGTTTTCAAAGGGGTTTTACCGGACGGGACAATGGTCGCCGTTAAGAGGATATTGGAATCGGAGTTTCAAGGCGACGAGGAGTTTTGCAACGAGGTCGATATTATCAGTAACTTGAAGCATAGGAATCTTGTGCCTCTTAGAGGGTGTTGTATGATCGATGATGACGATGAGATCGGAATCGATGATCATGAGAAAGGGAGTCAGAGATATCTTGTGTATGATTATATGCCGAATGGGAACCTCGACGACTCTTTGTTCCCGTCAAAAACGGGGAGTAAACCGTTGAGTTGGCCTCAGAGGAAGAACATAATCTTGGATGTGGCAAAGGGGTTGGCTTATTTGCATTATGGAGTGAAGCCTGCGATATATCATAGAGATATTAAGGCTACGAATATATTGCTCGATGCTGATATGAGAGCGAGAGTGTCGGATTTCGGGTTGGCGAAGCAGAGTAGGGAAGGGCAGTCTCACCTCACTACTAGAGTGGCTGGGACTCATGGATACTTGGCCCCTGAATACGCCCTATACGGTCAGCTGACAGAGAAGAGTGATGTTTACAGTTTCGGTGTCGTCGTTTTGGAGATCATGTGCGGGAGAAAAGCTCTTGATTTGTCTTCATCGAGCTCACCGCGAGCGTTTTTGATAACCGATTGGGCTTGGTCGTTGATGAAGGCCGGAAAAGTCGACGAGGCTTTGGATCGTTCGTTGATTGATAGTGAGGATTCTGTGAATTCGAATCCAAAGGCTATAATGGAGAGGTTTCTGCAGGTTGGGATTTTGTGTGCTCATGTAATGGTTGCTTTAAGGCCTACCATTTTGGATGCACTGAAAATGTTGGAAGGTGATATCGAAGTCCCCCCGATTCCCGATCGACCGATGTCTCTCGCCCACCCTTCGATTTACAGCGAGGGCAATGCTTTCAGCATCTCGCCCGCATTAAGTGGACCGCAACTGCAAAAGGGAGACATGCTCAGGTAATCTAAAATGTTTACTCCTCCCAAACATAAGATGTACCAGATTCGATGATCGACGTACGATCTTCCATAAAGCAAGCATCGGCCTCATATAGCTGCCAAAGAAAACAGGGATGGTGAGAAAATCTGGAAATCGATCAGCCAGCTTAAGATTTCATCGTTTCCATAGTAAAACAACGAATCACGTCCAACATCCTACTTGATCATGAAAACCCCAAGTTGCAACTACGATATTTGCTTCATTTTCGATACGCATACCGAATCATGTCATTTCTTTCTCCAAAACCTGGAGAGCATGGTCTTGAACAAAGCTCGACCGCCACATTCTCTGCAGGTTATACGAGAGCGATATCGGAGATATCACCGGCGGGTTATCGATGCGCAAAGATTTGAAGCAATGGCCCTCTAATGCTATTGATAAGTTTTAACTTGGATTTTGTTCGTGTAAAATAGATCTAATTATTTCGTAAAAATTGAGTAAGCTGTTTTTTTTACTTTAGTTTTGGATGTCTTTTGTTCGAGTTTTTGTTCGAGCTTATTTAAACCCTAAACGAGAACAAAACTCCCTAATTTCATTCATAAGATCTAAACTCAAGACCTTATTTAAAAGACGGTCTAACTTTTTATCACTCGATTCAAAGGCGAGATCAACCGATAGTTGATCGTACACCTGATCCGCTATACCAAAGGCAACAGATGAAAACAGAACAGAAATCTGTGCTTAAATCTTTGTAACAAATTTGCAAATCCCGATTGAGGTTAAGGATGTAAATGAACATAACGTCTGGTGAACCATTCGTTTATGTAATTGTAAAATACGTGTAGACTCAACTTCGTATCGAACACTAACAACTATTTGAACGCAAAGAAGATTCCAGGGTAACAAATGGTTGTCCGTGCCTCCTGTCCGATTGAACGTGCATGGATATGAAGATTTATTGTCAAACGATTAAGATTTAAGAGTTTTTGAATATATATTATTTTGTATTCGTCGTAAATTTATATATAAAGTTAGTTTAATATTGTTTAATTATCTTTTTACTCTTAGTTTGGTTTGTTAGTGTGTTTAATTTTATTAATTTACTCACGTAATTTTAAAATTATTTATATTTTAATCGCACTCACTTATTTTATTAAATACAACAAATTAATTTATTAAAAACTGAGTTAATTGTACTAAACATACTTAAACTATGATCATCATTCTAAATTGATCCTCAAACTTTTGAACATTCTAATTTTATCTCTAAACTATGACTCATTCTAAATTGATTCTTACACTTTTGAGTATTCCAATTCCAACCCTAAACTATGACCTTCATTCTATAATAGTCCCCAAACTTTTGAATATTTTAATTCAACCCCAAACTTTTAAGTGATGTGTTGTACAAATACAAAGATCCAGCGGATTTATTTAGAAACAAGTACCAACAACAGACCAACTTAATAGAAATAGCTGAGTTTTACATGAGTACATTAATCATTATATCATATATAAATCATTTTAAATTTTGCTTACGGTGGAGGAAAGACTTGAAGTTGGAGAAGCAAATGTTAAAAAATCAGAATCACGTTGAAGAAGATCCATTGCATCTGCATCTAAAGTGATGGTTGTTTCAATGCCTTTACCATTCTCAGTTGCTTTTAAGAAGAAGTTATTGTCATATGAATAGTAACGAGTCTCGCTCCACCCTATGCCGGAAGACATCGGCTGTCCCCATCCGAAATTTGGGGCGTCTCCGCCGAGTGTTTAACCAGCTGGTGGAAGCGAAGAAATCCACGTCTACCTGTGAGGCGAAATCCTCCACCTTCTTGTATTCTTCCGTCAAAACTTTCAACACATCCCCGCTTTGTAGAAGTGTGATTTGATCTTTGGAAACATCCAATGCTTCTCTCACCAGATAGGCCAAGTGGTCTAACTCTATGTCTGCGGCGGTGGCGCTCGGGTTATATGTAGAAATCGCGAACCAAACCAGGTTTCCGATTGCATGTTCGGGTAAATTTAGTATCGGTCGTAAATTCACCGATTGAATTAGCACCGACGGTCTCGAACGTCCCGACGCTGCTCTAGTAGCCAGCATGGCGTGTTTCCATAGAAATGCTGTGAGGGCTACGTTTCGTGTCGGGTGCTCGAGACGTTTGCTTTTAGCTTTGAGCTTTAGGGTGGCTATTGCATCGTCATGGACCAAGAATGTTTTAGTCGTATGCCACCCTTCTGGGAACCGGACCGTTTCGATGAAAGACAATATGTCACGAGGGATCGACTCCGACGGAGGGAACAGCCGTGACGCCGCGTAAAACATGTCGGGGTCACGTATTTCTCCGTCGGAGCCTCGGCTGAATGCAGCCCAAGTTTTAATGAAAGCCGACCCCGTCGTCGCGTCCACGATCTTGTGGGAGGCACAGAAGGCGACGGCGATGCCGCCTCACCCGAAGACGGTGACTTGAACAGCCATTTGGGGCGATGTCGAAGTCGGGACACTGCAAAAGCATTGGCATGGGAACAACTGGTTCAACAACTCTATCTCCGTCAGTGCAACGACATCAGCCAGCCGAGCGTTGCTCCTGGCTTCCACATACGGCACACCTTTGTCGTAGCAACCGACGCAGAGGTTGTCGATCGGCCGACCATACAAAGTGTAAAACTGATCCAAGGCTTTCATCAACGATTCCCTTACCGTGGCCAAGATTTGTGCAGTGTTGCCAAAACGGGAATCATCGGGTTTGTTGTAAAACAAGATGTAAGGTACGTAATGTGCCGGCGTGAACTGATCGAACAACGACAATGAGAATGGCTTCCGGTGAAGAACTTCCAGCCAAGATGGCTTAACCATTTCCTTTGAAATAATACGAACCTTCATCTGGATTTTTTACTAGAGCTGATAAAGGAGATGATGGAATGATATTATTAACTCAAAAAGAGATGATGAAAACTATGGCATTGAAACACCCTATTTATAAGCAGTGGCGGAAGATGAGAGTTGAAGCCCATTTTTTGGGCTTATATGTCCCTAACGAAACGACGTCGTTTTAACAGGGACCTTCTCCATGTTTTCGATTTAGGGTCTAATATCCATTTAGTTCCTTTTCCATTTGTAATAGTTTATTTAAGTCATGAATAAAATTTTGTGATATCTTAATTTGAGTTCTTATATTTCCATATTTATTTTTTAGTCCTGTTACAATGTGTTATATTATCTTTGCTAATGTTCGCTTTTGGTTACAATGTTTATAAGTATTTCATTTTAGTCACTAATTTAGTGGGTTATGTATTTCCTTTGATATTCTAATTTGGCCATGTTATTTGTATGATTTTTATTTTAGTCACTGCTTGGCTTTTGGATTATTTACTCTTTAGTTCTCCATGTTTCTTGTTATTTTATTTTAGTATGTAAACTGTTATTTATGGGTTATTTACTTTTTTGGTTCCTATATTTATTTAGTATTTGCAATCTAGGCTCTGTTTTATTTGTAATTATTGTTTTAACCCTTAAAGTTTTTGCTATTACTGTTTTGTCCTTAAGTTTTTGTTTTTAGTCATTTTAGTTCTTTAAGTTTCTGTTTTATCCATTTTAGTCCTTTGAGTTTATGTGTTTTCTATTTTAGTCCTTTATAATTTCAAGTACTTACTTTTTGCTCATTTGTATTTCGGTTTGTAATATTTATTTGTTTTCATTTCAATACCCTATGTATGTACATATTGTAAATGTTGTTATTTTATGTTGTAAATATTTTATTTTACATCATATGTGTTTCTATTATATTTTCTTAAATATTAATGTTATTTGAATAGTTTTGAGAACGCGAATTTGTAGAACGGGCGTGGAAAGTATCACTTGATCGAATTGGTACAATCCAATACGACATTCCAACAAATACAAAATTGAAATAAATCAATTTTATTTTACTAATTAATTTATTTTACTGATACAATGTGTGTTATTTTAATTCACAATTTATTTCATTGTATGCGAATGTAAATCGTCGATTTTCATTTATATTTGATTCGTATATTTATTAATGAGGTAATATTCTTTTATTGATAAGAAATAGTCGAGTTAGCTTTTCCGATGGAGGATTGCTAATTTCGAGATTTCCTTTCGAGTTAAAGAATTTTCTGTAATTAATTAATTTGAAGCAACTTAAACAATGTTCAATAAACGGATCATCTTTTAACTTTATATTCGATTTGTAAGTTCCACCATTACGACAACGTGTAAGCGACACAATACCAGTTTTTGGGCATTGTGGGGTTGCTAATCCTTCCCCACATGTAACCGACTCCCGAATCCAGTTAATCGAATCTTTGGTGACGCAGACCAAATTTTGTCTTATAAAATGATTTTTCTTAAAATTGTTTTAAAAGACGTTTTTAGGTATTCGACCTATTTAACCTAAAGGTCAATGGCGACTATTTTCAATTTATTTCTAATTATTTTCAAATCACCCAATTTTTTCAAATTAAAATCATAATCGTTTTTTAAAATAATATTTTAATTGTTATCTAAAAAAATGGTTATGACAATATGTTTAAGGGGTTGATGTACAAACTTAAACCTCGTTGATATGATCTTGATTGTGTGTTCCGAGTTATATACGTGTGCTCGATCGTGATTCTAGTAAGAACTCCACATTACTTTGAATGTAATCTGAAATTCACAAATAACGTTGTAAAATAGAAATGGATAAATAAAATATGGAAGTGGAAAGATGAAAGATATGTTGAAATAGACTAGCAACGTAGGAAGAGTGATGCTTGTGGTTAAGGAAAATAAAAGATGAAAAGGTTGGTGAAGATAGTGGGGAGTTGGTGTGTAGTATGAAAAATCTCAAGGAAGTGTATTGTGACCCTCTAACTATATATGAGTTAGGAACCAACCATAGAATAAGGTGGAAATGTAGAAGTGGTAAGATATGGAACGTGGCCCACTAGCTATAGACGAGCTAGGAACCAATGCTATAACAAAAGGAAATGGATGAAGACTACAAGATTAAATTAAAAATGTTTAAATTTTAGTGACCAAAATAGGAGAGAAGATAGTTGAGTGATGAATAGTATAGTTTAGCCATTATTTTTTCAAAAGGGTAAACTACACATTTAGTACCTAAACTATATGTTTTGGTCCGTCTTGGTACCTAAACTTTTATTTTTTCAAAATCATACTAACGTTTAGTTTTCATTTCATTTTAGTGCCCATTCGTTAAAAAAATAATGCGTTTAGTACCCAAAATATCGGTTTTGGTCCATTTTAGTACCTAAACTTTCAATTTTTTCAAAACTTAACGTCAAATTTTGAATGGAATACCAAAATGAAACAAAAACTAAACTTGAGGTATGATATTGAAAAAATTAAAAGTTTAGATAATAAAACGGATCAAAGCTGATAGTTTAAGTACTGAATACATAATTTACCCTAATATATTTGGGTAAACTAGACATATTACCACTTAATTATGGGCAAATTCTATTTTAACCATCGGACTTTTAATTTTTTAATTAAACTACTTAATTGTTGTCTGTAAAATCGGTTAAAATGTAGCAAAGGAGTTGGTGTATGCGGTGAACGCATATGCTTCCACGAAAATCCTTATCTTTAGAAAGGTTTGCATAGAAGACAAGGCTCTCCATAACTTCGATGTACCCAGTGGATTATTTTGTTGTCGTATGAACTCATGGTAGTCTAATCTTCTTGCTGTCCTAGTGATCAAAATGTAACAATCGGCAATGTAAATGATTAAAATTAAATAAATTAATAATACAACCGATCAAAATATATAATTTAAAATTCAATAACAATAAAAGGATGAAATTAAAATAAAAGTGATCAATAAGTAGATTGACTACCCTACATAAACTAATTATAAAACTATATTTGCCATCATCTTTAAAAAAATTTAAAATATTTGCCATACGAGTCCTATATTTTTAATATCTTTGGGAATTGAAAGATCATTTTCGTTTGCCTAAGCGTATATAATTATACTAGTAGTAAGCACGATGGTAGCATCAAATCACACATAATATCACAAGGATAACGTTGGGTAATATTAAAATTATTCATTTAAATTTTAAATAATAAATTTATAATCAATAAAATGGCAAATTCAACGAGATAATGCTCTCAAATTCTTTATTTCACGAAATAAGGCAGTCCCCAGATTAATTGCTCAAATGGGGTGATTTCCACAGTGTTGGCGTAGGTCGCCAGGGCATCCCAGCGACATGGTAGGTCGCCATGCACGCCCAGCGACCTTATAGGTCGCCATGCACGCCCGACGTCCAACGTTTTGGTGCTTTGCATGAGCCATGCACGTGGCATGGGATAGGTAGCCATACAATCCTCTCCTCGCGTGTGATTCCACTTGCAGCTGCTCAGGAGAACCTATTCCTCCTGCTCCTCGCGTGATTCCTCTTACATCTGCTCAGGAGACCTCATACATGCAGCTGTAATAGCTGTATTATTGCAGCATGATTTGAGCTGCAAAGTGTGCAGCTGCTCAGGAGGGTCGTGTGCATGAGGGTCGTGTGCATGAGAATGATCGTGTGCATGTGACATGCACAACCCAACCATAGGTCGCCAAGCACTCCCAGCGACCTACAAGGTCGCCATGCACTCCCAGCGACCTTGTAGGTCGCCAAGCAATCCCGGCGACCAATCATGGTCCTCTCCTCGCGTGTGATTCCACTTGCAGCTGCTCAGGAGAACCTATTTCTCCTGCTCCTCGCGTGATTCCTCTTACATCTGCTTAGGAGACCTCATGCATGCAACTGTAATAAATTCCACTTGCAGCTGCTCAGGAGAACCTATTCCTCCTGCTCCTCGCGTGATTCCTCTTATATCTGCTCAGGAGACCTCATGCATGCAGCTGTAATAGCTGTATTATTGCAGCATGATTTGAGTTGCAAAGTGTCATAGCTTCGTGCCCTAGCTTCGAGCCATAGCTGCTCCCTCATGCCATAGCTTCGAGACTGTCCATTCTTGTTATCATAGTTGTATTGGTGCAACATAAAATCAGTTGTTGCATGCAGCAATTAGTGTTGTATTATTGCAGCGTTCAACGGTTGAAAAATTTACAGCCTTCAACGTGAATTATACAGCTCAAATTGATTACAGCTTACCAACCGTGCAAAGATCATTATATATTGGATATGAGGGGTTTAGGGTAGAATCATAAGAAAGAAAGAAAATTTGGCGAGAGAAAGGAAATGAAAGGAAAAGAAGAAGAAGATGAAATGGAGATAAAGGCTCAAACATCGTTCGTGAGGTAATTTTTAATTGTTTAGTTTAGTTTATTAATATAAAATTATGAAATAATTAGTTTGTTAGTTTAGGGTTTAGGATAAAACAGAAATTTAGTTAATTAGTTTGTTAGTATAAATTATTAGTTTGTTAGTTTAAGTTATATTATATTAATTTGTTAGTTTAAGTTATATATTAGATTATATAAAAAATTAGTTAATTAGTTTCTTAGTTTAAGTTATTAAATGTAAACAATATTTAATTAATTTGTTAGTGTGTTTAAACGTATATTAGGTTGTTTGTTGAAGTTTAAGTTAAAATATTAAAAAAGTTAATTAGTGCTTAATTAGTTTGTTAGTTTGTTATTTTAACTAAATTATATTATAATAAAGAAATAGTTTATTAGTTTAAGTTATATTATAATATATTAGATTATATAAATTTAATTTTTTTAATTTATTGTTGTTTAAAGAAATAATTTTTTTACACGTACAGAGCATTATTCCACAACATTTTCCCACGTACATATTGATTCGAAGAAAGAAACAATAAAGGAAAGGAAAGGAAAGGAAATGAGCAACAACTTTTTCACG